ACAAAACAAAACAAAACAAAACAAAACAAAACAAAACAAAAACAAAAAGACAAAAATCTGAAAAGGATCCAACATTCAACGTTTCCACCCGGAAAAAATATATTGGGAGGCGATATCATACCTGTTTGCCCATTGGTTCAGGATTTGTGATGGTCGTACTGAAGTAGCCATCCCATTCGAGTCGACCATACAGCCCCGCCCAGTTATTGTGTCTATTTCCGGTATGCGGTAAACACCATGGGACAAGAGTGTTAAACTGTCGATCAGCTGGATCACATGGGCGACCGTCTACGCATGAGCAAACACCTCGTAATCTACCGTTGGATCCTTTGCCGTTCTTTTTATCGTGGTGCAGATATTCCCTGGAAAATAACATTGTTTAAAGTTAAGTTTCGATAAAGTTATCAAGGTACAATATTGGGCATTACGGAGATAAACGCGTTGCATTCTGTTCTTGCTTGAATTGATGGTTTTCACGGCGGCCATGTTGGAGGAACTTAACAAAAGAATTGTCAAGGAATTCTTTTGTTATATCCTCCAACTTGGCCGCCGTGTCTCTTGTTATTTAGTTCTCTTGGGAATGGTTGAAAACCATCAATACAAATATTGTTTGTAAGTCCTTTGTCGGAGTAAAAGACATCATGATAATGAAATACAAATTATTTCCATCAAACGCATTACATCTACATACAATTTCTTGGTGGAGGTGCCATCTGCGAGACGAACTACAATGTTGGGTAAGTCTCTCCAGTCTGAACCAGGTGCGAGAGGAATGTGCTTCATACGAGCCGCCACTAATGCGCTCATCTCCTTGCAAATATGGTCCCTCAATACTGGCTGGTACTGGTCTCCTCGAATCTGGAAACAACAAGAACAGATTATCCAAGTAAAAAACAACAAGCAGTGAAAAAGGAGGGGTCTACAGACCCTTCGCATATAAAGTCAAATATCCCCCCTCTCCCCCTCCTCAGCTAATCCGTTCATGATGCTAGTATAACGACTATTTCCTGTGTCATTACCAACCTTTCGTTGGAAGTGCGATATTGCTTCGCCTTTATACGATATTTCCGGATCTGAAGCTCCATTGACAATGTCCGGTAGGTCCGACATAGCGTCTCTTACAGTAACGGTACGGTATGGGGCAGAACATGACCGCGTAATGTTGGAACGGAATACTTTATCGTCGACTTTAACCGTCAGCTGACATGCACGTGGACTAAAGCAGTGAGTTGGTTCTGGGTACTGTGGAAGAACCTCGCCTGGAGCAGCCGCTATTATGATAGCCCTGGATAGTTCAATAAAAATATCACAGATTTGTTTTGACAAAAACAGAACGAACGACCGACCGACCGAGCAAGCGAGCGAGCGAGCGAACGAACGAACGAACGAACGAACGAACGATAGAACAATGCAACAGCGCTAAAGGAGCGATTAAACAGCGTTGCGACACAAGATGCAAGAGTGTTACGCGGTGCGACTTGATTGCTGCCTAAAGTAGAAACGAATTCTACTTTTCACGATGTCTGCTGCAGCTTTTTTCAAATTGAACTGTTGATTACACGTTGCAATGATCCATGCAGCTTGTGTAGCAAAGCGTTGCGAAGAAAAGCTGCATAAGAATTGCTCCGTGTAATCGCGTCTTAAAAACCTTTCCTGAAATTGCTTGAGTGAACACGAAGGATCGTCGTACTCGTCCTTACTTACCTCCGTCTAGTTTGCGGGACTCCATAACAGCCCGCTTGAAGCACACCAAAAGTACACTGTAGATACAAATCCAGAATTACCAAGAGAGCATAATTAAGATAGGGAATCGTTTTAATAACGCGCGCGCCATGTAAATTCCCGGTTGGGCTATTTTTGGAAACCGGATGCAGTTTAAATTTCGCCTTACCCTACTCCCGTGCGTCATCAATTTGCGCGAACGCGAATGCAGCTCAATTTGTAGGACAAAACAATAGGTTTCCAATCTTCATGAGATATAATGGGTCTACAGGGGCAGCCACGGCAGGAGGCACAACAGTAGAGTCTTTCTCCCCTAGTAAACTGAATTCTTTCTTGTTCCATCGGGGAAAAAATGAAGGACTTGTCCTAGTACCATGTTTAAAAAGAAAACTTTGTTTACTCTACCTGATATCCCATCCTCAGAAGGCATCGAAGGGTAAGCTTCAGCACCATGCTGCGCTTAAAGGACACGAAGTTGCGGACATTCTCGAGGATGAAGAATCGAGGACGGTAGAAATCACAGTAGCTAAGGTACGATACCACTAGAGAATTCTGGGAAAAATAATTTATTTAGAACATTACGTTATGCCTTTCTTAACCAGCTTCTAAGAATTACACGAAGGTATTGTGCTGTCGGGGGTGGGAAGCATATTTTATGTGGAGAAATAATTCGTTCGCTTCT